TGTTCATGACAGGTGTTTATGACGGTGTCATGTCACTCTTATTCAACCCCCTTCAAGTAAAGTGTTACCAAATATTGGAATTTGGACTTTAAGAAGTTTTCTGTACACGGCCAGCCTTATTGTAGGCAAGCATCTTTATCAGCAATACATTTCTCCTTGTCTGTATTTGATCAAAGATCTTATCTAACTCGAGCTGTAGACAAACATCAAATAACCAAATAGTCCTGTTTATTTGAGACCTAGGCAATATGTTTCCTAATATATGCAATCTTCCAGTGTAAGTTATTTCTAACTCTGCGTTTTCTTTCTAGGTGAGAGCAAGGTTCCTATGCACATCATGTTCCTCCTGGTGTCGGACATTATCAGCTTCTTCAGCCGTCCCTCTGTGGATCATAGCACGGAAACTGACCAGGTCTTCTCCAGAAATGGCACAGACATCATCTTTTACTTTGGGGTCATTTCCAACATTGCCTTCATGCTGTTCATAGCTCAGGAGCGCCATCTGCTGGTGGCCTACCCACAGTGTCTTGGCTGTTGCACCAGTATCAGGCAATCATCTGCAGTGACGTTTCTGGCGTGGGCCAGTCCTTTCGCCATGCTCACCCTCGCCTTGCTAGGCTACAACCTGTGGTTTGCCGTCTCTCTGCTCACTCCTTTTCCCTTCCTCCTTTTTTTCGCTGTGGATTCCTGGCGGGCCCTACACTGCTCCCGATCCAACCCACCGAGCCCAGAGAAGAGGAGGACAGTGTTTGGCATCGGGGCAATCTGGGCCAACTACACTTTTCTTTATGCCCCCTTTATCCTCAGCATCCTCTTGGAGGCTCTGTCCTTCAAGGACAAAGTCCCCTACCTGGGGCTGGTGTCTCACCTGCTTCTCTACCTCAGCCCGCTGGTAGACCCCTTCCTTTATATCTTCATGACCAAGGGTCCAAAAGAGGTACTACGAGCTCTACCCTGCTGTCAAAAATTACAAAAGAAAGAAAACACGACACCTACAGTAGAAACTGTGGCTGAAACTGTAGAAACAAAACTTTGAAGACAGGTATATTCAGCAGAGATCATTGTGAGCATCCTGTGTTTTCAGTGGGATGAATTAAACCCCTGTTGGACTTCTTTAATTAATAAATAATATTTAATGGAAGATAAATGGAAGACAACATATTTAACAGTGATATGCGGTCAGGGGAGGCAGGTGAGGCTCATCATGGAAAAATAATATATAATAATAAAATCATTTATAAAGATATTTTCACCCTGTGGTTTGTACTATAAAGTACCTATTTTTCATTTAATTTAACCAAATCTGATTATTTTTTCTTCAAAATCGCTGAATTTTCGCATTTTCCCATTCAAATGCTTGGAAGCGAAGCCGGTGAGGCAGCAGCGAGCTGAGCCTCACCTGGGATTACGCAACCTGTCGCTAACTGCACCGGTTGCCACTCTATGAGAGCATGCTCCTCTTGTCTGTACGTCGCCAATAAAATGGTTAAAAATATTTAATGTATGAACTCATTTTCCATAATTTAGTTTATGTATTTAATGTACTGTGTTTTTATTGTCACCAACTTTGTGTGTAACGTGTTTCGTGTGCTGAGGAGCGATCATAAATGGCATATTATTTGAGACGGCAAACGCCATACAGCTTAGAGGTGAGGCAGGCAGTTCTCATGCCTCGTCGCTGGGGGCGCTCATGAACCCAGATATTGTGACTCCACTAGTGCAGAGTAAGAGATGGTAACAGCGAGCTGTCCAGCGAGCTAGCCACACAGTAGTTGTGCTGATACAGAGAGCGAGAAAGACGTGGTTTTGAGTTGCACTTTAACGGTTTCTCGATTTGCTTTTAAGCACAGCACGAAATTAATAATATCTACATGTCTAAGTTTGATTGAGATCACGGAATCATGAATGGCATGTAAAGGAATAGCCTTTTTGCCCTCCAGCATTGTAGCATGCGAGAAATTTCCTTATGTAAACAATAACATGCCGGGGATCTAGATTTGTAAATCCGATTATAATTAAGTCGGTGCCTCACCAGGTATGAACCTCACCGCAAGTCACTAATATCTATCTATCTATCTATCTATCTATCTATCTATCTATCTATCTATCTATCTATCTATCTATCTATCTATCTGTGATAGATAGA